CTAGCTTGACTGTCTCCTCCTCTGGACTGTGTGATAACATCTGTCTCAGGATCAGCACTGTACTAGAGTCTCTCTAAACTGTATGGGATACAGAGATTCGATGGATGTAAAAAAGCAGTGTAAGAGTAATTTACCATCGAAACAAAGTCCTCTCTGTTTTAGATCCATCAAAAGTAGGGCCAAACCTTAGTGCTCTGGTGGCACTATTCTTGCTCAGCCTTCTACCAGAAGCAAATTTTAATCTTCTAACTGAAACACAAAGTGATGCAACTACTTTCTATACTATAATTTTCTATACTACAACAGTTTAACAATGAAGGCCTCCAGAGTGCAGGCTCAGGATCCAGGGTCTTGTCATCTAGTAGACTAGCCTGCTTCTGAGCTAGTGACAAGTCCTCTTTTGAGAATTTGTGAGGGTTTTTTTGTTTGATTTGGTTTTTTTCCCTCCTCCAATTCAATGGAATTGGGCTTGGTTTGTAAACGGAATTAAATACAGGAAATACCTGAATGGACTTAAGGTCAGAGGTCTTCCTAGGATCTACAGAGCTGTCTTAGAGCTGCTGTCAATCAAGTGATCCTCAGAAAGTGAGTTGGGAGACTGGTGGAGGTATCTCGCTACCGCACAGGCGGATGAATTCTCTGCGGCCCACATGCGCAGACGGTCCCCTTCATATTACAGTATAACTGGAGAATCTAGCCCCATGTTCTGCGGAGCTGCCTTGTACATATGATGACGCAGTGCCACCTGGGAGGGAATGCTGGATAAACAAGAGCAAATTCTCCTGAATGTTTTACCGTGGAAATTCTTGGGCTTCGTTTTTTTAGATTCAGAAATATTTAAGTAAGGATTTACTATTACACAGTGACAACTTATCATCCAGAAAGCATTTTCTACAGACAAGTAAATATAAGTGCTGAACATTCTCTAGAGAGCTCAATACAAGTTTAACTTTTAAATCTGGTTTTAGTAAAACTGTTTTTAAAAACACAAATTAGGGGGCGCCTGGGTGGCTCAGTCAAGCCCCATACCGGGCTCCCTGCTCGGCAGGAAGCCTGCTTCTCCCTCTCCCACTCCCCCTGCTTGTGTTCCCTCTCTTGCTGTGTCTCCGTCAAATAATAAATAAAATCTTTAAAAAAAAAAAAAGCAACAACACACACATTAGTATGTTATATTGTTCTTTTGTGGGTTTTTTTTTTTTTTTTTAAGATTTTATTTGACAGAGCACAAGCAGGGGGAGTGGCAGCAGCAGAGGCAGAGGGAGAAGCAGTTTCCCCACTGAGCAGGGAGCCGGAGGCAGGACTCAATCCCAGGACCCTGGGATCATAACCTGAGCTGAAAGCAGATGCTTAACTGAGTGAGCCACCCAGGCACCCCACAGCTGTTATTTCTATGAAAAGCAAATTTCCTTGGTCAAATTAGGTAGATGCAAATTCTGTTCTTGCTGTTATCTTACATTCAATAAATAAATGTTACTGTGCCAGTATTACTGCTATAGTAATGCCTTCAGAGTTCCAAAAGATCTATTGTATTAAGAAGATCGAGAGCAACTGCCCATATTTCAGGTAATTCAGGTCACTTGGATCAATCTGTTGGATTGCTAGATCAATTATTATATTTCTCATCAATCTATATATACTTTACTAAATAAAATTTCTAGCAACTGACCTTTATTCGATGCCTTGGGAAACTTATCAATAAATCTTAACTGGAGGTTTAATGGACACCAGGTAAAATTCTTTGAACTCTAAATGTGCCCAGTCAGCCTCACAAAATAGTAACGTGTTATGACTTCCATTATTATGAAGAACTGTGGCACACGTTCTGTAAAGCACATGTCATGCACGTCACAGTAAACACTGGTGGTGAATGTCTTCGCTGGGAGTCCCACAGAATCAGCAGCTTTAGACTGAAATGAGGGAGGGCTTCATGTTATTCTTACTTCCTAGATGCAGTAAAAGGAGGCAGAGAGAAGCCAACTATCCAAGAAATGTCAAGTGTCCGTTGAGTTCCCCACTTCCAGGCCACTGCTTCCAAGCCAGCACTGGAAAAAAGCTGTGAGGTGCTCAAGTGTCCAAGTAAGCTCTTTTCATATTTGGGACTAGTATTACATTTCCCTCGGACAGCTCCTCCTTCTCACATTCCTGGAGTCTGGAGTGTACACTGGCATGGGGCTAGAGCCCACCTTTTCTTTGTTTGAGCTAGGTAATGGCACTGTCCGCGTTTAGGATATTTTCTTCCTATTGCCCAGACAAATAACTTGTAATTAAGACAAAAAATAGCTGCATCATTCTTCCTTAGATCAGCCGTCCAGTAACTTCTCCTTTGCTGAATTTAAACTGACCATAGTGTTCATTTTTACTTAAAATAAAGTCTGATTTGGACCACCGTCCACCCGTTCTCAAGCACCTTCATGATGCATCAGGGACATTTCCAGTCATTAAGCTGTGGAACATAGAATACGTCCCAAGAAGCCTACATGATCCATACCTAGTGACCGAGGGGGAAAATAACTTAGAGAAACGTGTAAGGGTTGAAGAGGCTGGGCCACTCCAACTGTGGAGACCTGCTGTGGCAGCACCCCAGAATTCCACCAAGAATGAATCAATGCTAGATCCACCTAACTCAAGAGGCATGATGCTGACACTGCAGCAAGAAAGTCATCCACAACCAAGGTTTTCCCCCAGGCCCTGATTGTGGAGAATCCGGGAACTTCCTTCACCGTCGCTGAGATCTACCTTGGGCAGCGAGAAGACTCTTGTAGTTCATCCCTCCTCAAGCACATGGAACAGCTGTGACAGCTGGTTTCAGAAGGCAGTAGGCTCCTGTTTCTGGACTCTGTTCCTCCCAACTATAAGAAATGGGGTCCACTCAAGAAGTCACTGAGGCAGAGGTAGGAGGAGCTACCCTAATTGGCTTCCTTAAAAGGTAAGACAGAACATCCCAGTTCTTTCTCAGTTCTACCATTATACTCCTATCCTGGAGCAACAAAGGAGAGTTACTAATTTTTTAATATGTTCCTTCAGTCCCTCTGGTAGTTATGCTTGACTTGGCATGCATTGGTTCCCAAGAGTTGCTTATAAAATATTCAGGGGTCTTGTAAACTGGATGGTACGCCCTTGTTAGCTTGAGCTTTGTCAGTATACAAGGAAATCAGCAAATGATATAAATCAAGACTTTGTGTGTTTCAGAGTCAGTTAACTACTGCACGACTGCCAGAAGCCACTGACCTGTATGTTTCCCTTTCCAACAGGACCACAGAATGTGGACGCTTGCCTCCGTTAGCATTATCTTGAGAGAACACTAATTTCCTCCATCGTTTAGATTCATACGGAATCTTGTATATCTGACTTAAAATTGAGAACATTACCTTAAAAATAACATGCTTTATGATTTCTAAAACAAGCACACGTGTTTAAAAAGTATTTCACATTTCTGCAAAAGTTAGCACTGTGGTCCCCAGCCTAGAACTCCCATTCCAGCAGAGGTGTCCATTCCCAGACTGTAAGCCTAAAGGTTCTCTTGAACTCGCTCACATCTTCCAGCCCCGCTGGGTACGAAGTCTGTGGATGACTCACAAGCGAAGAAGCCATCTGCCCCAACACACCATCAATACTGACCCCGTATTAGGTGACAGGTATTCACTTGTGATCTTGCCATTTACTCAGAAGACCCTTTATCATCTTCACCTTTCCTCTCAGGAATAGGATAGGATAGGATTCACGTGACCGGACAAAACCCAGAGAGCATATAATTAACTGGCTCATATTTATCTGGTTCAAAAACCTGTTCCCTGACCACAGTTTATGATGAGTTATGTCTTCTCAGGGTTTCAAATGCCTCTGAAAAATAGCAACTCCAGAGGATAAACGATTTGGCAGGCAGGGAAAGGATAAAAAAGGATGCAAGGTGTGTAAGTAAGGGTGGTGAAAAGTGGGACTAAGTCATTTTGTGGCTTCACGCCCACCCTTTAATAGATGAGTTTGGGCTGGATTAAAGGGGACCAGAGAGTGGAGCAGAACTTTCTGCAGAAGAGCCTTGGCATCCTCTCTCCCGACATGGGGTATGGACTTCCAGGAACTTGAGGGTTTGAGGTCTGGGCATCTTAGTCAAACAGAGAAGATGTGAGGGGCAGAGGGGAAATCTTCAGCATTGGAGTACTTGGCTCAAATGGCTGCAGTGAATCCATCCTTTCTAGTTGAGACAACACTTGGGTTGTGAGACCATTTACTCTCATACGGAGTTTCCAAAGCTTCTGAATATGCTGGATTACTGCCTGTAGGACTTCATCTGCTGAGAAGGAGTTCGCCAGTTTTAGGTTCTGGAATCTATCAACTTCACAGAGGGTCCATCATAAGCCCCTTATCTGACACTTAAGTAAATGTCCACCACTTCCAGAAAATACAGAGCCTTCAGCCTAGACAGGGTCACCACCTGCCTGTCACTGAAGGCAGGAACAGCTTCCAAGCCACAGCTGTGTTAGAAGAGGAGTGAAGAGTGGTCATTTTCCTCAAAGATCCATGACTTTGAAATTTTAGAGTTGTGCAGCTCCAGATTTGTCAGGAATTGGGGGAGTTTTGGTGACTGGGAGTTTCCTCAAGTGTGCAACATATAACTCTAGTTTAGTCAGGTGGGGGCACCTCTTCCCAACTTCCTTTAATCAAAGCTGGAATGATTTCAGATTTATGCCTCAGCTCCCACACTGTGAGTAGCATCCCACACTCAGTGACAAGAATCCTGATCCCATGTATCGCCAGGAGAGAAGCCTTACCTGCAATAACCAAACGTTATCATGCTCAAAGGACTAAAATCTACTGACTTCAACTTGAATTGCACGGCGGAATGATTAATGTTCAGGGCTCTTGAACAGTATCAAAGCTCCAACGAGCCACCAGATATATACCCTCTGAGAAGGCCAGCATGGGTTCTGTGTAAAAACTGCCATCCATATAAAGCAGATACCCTCAAGCATTTTCCCAAATACAAGTCCATACATACATACCCTGTAAGGTGTCAGGTACATGTCTCCATAGTGCAGAATGCTCAACTAGCATCTTCCAAAGCTTACAAACTCTGCAGAGGAAGAAAACCGACATTCATCTCCAAAGCTGATGAGAGCACCCACAGTTTCACACCTGGCCCCTTGCTGTCCTCCTCCACGGCTCCAAGGCCAGAAGATGGGTGGATACCCTGTTCCAACTGTGCCCTCAGCTCTTGTACCAGTATTTTCCCTTGTAGGGCACTTGGACTGGGCCCTATGGCTCCACATCCCCCGACACCCGCCTTTTCCCTGAGCTTTGAGGTACTTGCCCTTCACACAGTGAGAACACCCCTCCCTAGGTCCACACCTGGAAATGTGAATCTCTTCTGTAATGCACAGAAATGAGAATGTCTTCAGCATCACAGAGCTAAGCAGTGCCAAGGTGATAACCAAACTTTGCTCTCTGCCGGCTGTATGCATGTACTGTGATGAAGAAATGGAACCTTTTGACTTCTTGGGTGAGCTGAAGGGCCTGAGGAACTGGAGAATGGTTTAAGTGTCTGGAGAGGTGAAAGCAGGATTCTGGGCACCGTATCCTCTTCTTTTCCTCTGAGTCACCCAGTGGAGAAGACAGAGCTTTGACTCAGATCTGAAAGAGAAACCATATATTAATGCGAGGATCTGGTAACTGGGGAAAGATACCAACATCCAGGACACTCAACAATGCCTAAAATATACTCTATAAAATATGGTTTACCAACTGAGTTATCCAGAACATATGGGAGAATCCAAGGGGAGAGAGGGAAAATCTAGGGAAGCTAATATCACATTGGTTAGGGGATTATGTTAGGTTTTGCCTTCAAGGCAAATTTAGATTGAAATGTAAAATTATGTTTTACATTTAGAATTTTTCTTCAAAGAAAATATAGGGATATGTAGGGAATCCCTATACACATGAAACAGGAAAGTCCTGTGAGTGGGAAGGAAGACTTTAGGTAGGTATCACTGTGTTTTGTCCATGTTTCCAAGTGGTACACATCAAAGGTCATGAGTGGATGAAAACCGTAAATAAAAAAGCAGCTTCTCGATAGCTGATATTTTCTTAGATTATCGAAAATGCCAGCTAGATCTCACAAACTTTTGAAATGTCCTGTGTTAAGCAGTCATCATTTTGAGCCAGGAAGAGGTCCTGACATGTATTTCTCTGCAAACTACAATCATGCATTCATAGGGTTTAAGGAGAGTCCAACTCAATGAAAATGGCATGAAAAAAATAACTAACACAGTTAACTATTAAAAAGAAAGAGGAAGGAGTGAGAAAATAAATGAATATTAATACTCAAAGAATCCTTTGCCTCAGAGCAAAACATTTAAGAATTATCTAATAATTTTAGTAATGGATAAACAACAAATTATTAAAAACCTTAAAAACAGGAGAGCCTGGGTGGCTCAGTCTATTAAACATCTGCCTTCAGCTAGGTCATGATCCCAGAATCCTGAAATCAAGCCCCGAGTCAGGCTCCCTACTGAGGGTCCCTTTTCCTTCGCCCTCTGCCTGCTGCTCTCCCTCCCTCTCTCTCTCTCTCTCTGTGTCAAATAAATAAATAAAAATAGGACTTCAAAGCAGAATTATAAGGATGAAAGAGATTAAAAGGAAGAAGGAAAAATGAATTGGCAAAGCTCCCAAACTTCCAAAAATAAAATAAAAACCATTTAAAAGAGACCACACTGGGAGGTACAAAAAAGAAAAAGAGACACTGCTGTAAAACCACTCATTAATATTGCTGACAGGCTTAAAATGAGCTAAAGAGAAAAGGATTAAGTAAAAATCATTCAACGCTGTGAAAGACAAGCCCACCCACAACCTATGAAATCTATGTTACTGGTAAAGACTACAAAGGAAATGATATGACAAAAAATAATTTCATAAATTCAACAAAAAAGTATTAAAGCATACAAAAAAGAATTTGTGAGTTTGTGGAAATGCAGTTTGGAAAATCACATATAAAGCAATAAAAAATAAAAGTGCCCCAAAGAGTCTATAATTCAAACATGAATGATTTGAGGATCACTGTAAAAACTCAAGCGAGATATGAGATGATATTCAGTGAACAAAATGTGATCATGAAGAAGGCCTACAAAATCTTTAGGGAAACCAACTGTGACCCTTAATCTTATAACCAAGTGAACTCTTCCTCAACTCTCACGAGATGGATTTAGAGAAGATTTGTAAGTATAATACACAGATGAATCAGCAATAATTTAGTGGCACGGAGACTGTGCCAAAGAGAAAAAAAGGGACACACACTACTTAATATTTTTAGAGCACTGCTAAACATTAAGATTTCTCAACCCTTTCCGCATTATTTGGACATAGCTGCTTAGTTCTGAATACAACATTTATTTTCTCTATACCAAAACCACGTTCTCCAACAAATCCGCCAATAAAATGACTGATATCTATACCCATTCACCTTTCTTTCCCTTTCAGAGCTGCAATCTGGAAAAATGATGTTATTAAGTGAGCTCCCTAGAATCCCAACACCAGTGATGGGCCAGACTATTCTAGGTGCTAGGGAGATAAAAATTTATAAGTTAACATAACCAAAACAGTCCTCCTCTCTTGCCTCTTACCTTCTAGCAATACACAAAATGGAAAGCAAAGGAACAAAGTACAAGCTTTAATATGAAGGAAGTACAAAACCAAAACAAATGTATCCTTCAAATTAATACTATAATAGAAAAACCTTTCAAATCCAACCTTTCATAATTTTTAACATCTCCCCTCAAACCCAACCTGCCCAGGAACAGCACCGGTCCACAGCACAGGAGTCCCTAAAATTTGATTTTTTTTTTTTTTTTAAATTCAGACTTTTGAAACTCAGTCACATGTCAAAGATAAAAAGGCTTGAACATGGGCAGGGTGAGTGCAGGGTTCAGATGGAAACCAGGGTCACGAATAGGTCAATTGATTCCTCTTCTGTAAAAGTTCACTGAAGAGCTTGAAGTTTTAGCTCCCAGGCTAGAGAGCAGGGTGCAGCCATCTTCATCTGGCCCATCAGTGCCGAAAGCCTTCAGGGAGCAAAACAGGGACACATAGTGGAGGCTGGAGCCTGGTACACCTAACCCTGCCCACCCAGCATCCTGGAGGGGCATTTCCACTGAAACAAGATGGCTGAGTATCAGCCCAGCAGGTCCCTCCCCCAGAGGACTAGAACAGACAGCCAGGTCTCACCAAGTTTATTGATCAGAGAGTGCTGCAAAGCTTCAGCTCTAATGGAAATAGAATTGAGCTTCCTTTTTACTTCTGTTCTTTTTCATTTTTTCCTATTTTCCAAGTCCTTTTATTATTATTTGTATACTCCATAAGTGTGTGTGTGCATTTGTGTGTGTATATATTTGCACACTTTGATTTCATTTTATTTTTTTCTTCTGGATTCTAGATTCTTTTAACAGGCAAAACAAAACAGACCGAGGAGCTAGTTATTTTCTTTTGCTTTTTTTGTTTTTTTCTTTTTGTTTTTTTGTTGTTGTTTTTCTCTTCATTTTTTTTCTGGAATAAATGACAATAACCCCAAAAGGAAGAACACGAGGTAGAACTCACAGCCAGGGATTTAATCAACATAAATATAAGTAAGATGTCTGGACCAGAATTTAAAACAATGATTATAAAGATACAAGCTGGGCCTGAAGAACGCAAAGAAGACAACAGAGAATACCCTACTACAGAGACAAAAGAACTAAAATCTAGTCAGGTCAAAATTTAAAATGCTCTAACAGAGATGCAAACACATATCAGGTCATAAAAAGGATGGATGAACCAGAGGAGCAATCAGTGATACAAAAGATGTAATTATGGAGAATAAGCTGAAAAGAAGAGGGAAAGAAAGGTAATGGACCATGAAGGCAGACTTACAGAATTCAGTGACTAAGTAAAACTTAATAACATATGTATCATAGGAGTCCCAGAAGACAAAAAAAGAGTAAAGGGTCAAAAGGCTTATTTGAACAAATTACAGCTGAAGACTTCCCTAATCTAGGGAAGGACAGAGACATCAAAATCCAAGAAGCACAGAGAACTCCCATTAAATTCAAAAGCTGGCCATCACCGAAGCATATAATAGTTAAATTCACAAAATACACAGACAAGAAAAGAATCCTTAAAGTAAGAGAAAAAAGGTCCTTAACCTACAGGGGAAGACAGATCAGGTTCACAGTGGATCTGTCCAGAGAACTGGAAGGCCAGAAAGGAGTGGAAGGATATATTCAACACGCTGAATGGGACAAATATGCAGCCAAGAACACTTTAACCAGCAAGGCTGTCATTCAGAATAGGAAGAGAGAGAGATTTCCAGACAGCCAAAAACTAAATATGTCTGTGACCACTAACACAGCCCTGCAAAAATTTTGAGGGGGACTCTCTGAGTGGAGAAAAAACCAAAAGCAACAAAGACTAGAAAGGACACAGAACATCAACAGAAACACCAACTCTACAGGTCACACAATGACTCTCTAAATTCATATCTCTCAATAACCACTGAGTGTAAATGGACTAAATCAATCAAAAGACACAGAGTATCAGAATGAAGTAAAAAAAAAACAAAACAGACTCCTCTATATGCTGCCTACAAGAGACTTATTTTAGACCCAATGACACCTGCAGATTGAAAGTAAGGCAGTGGGGAACCATTTATCATGCTAAGGGTATCAAAAGAAAGCTGGTGTAGCAGTCCTTTTATCAAGACAAATTAGATTTTAAGCCAAAGACTGTAGTAAGAGATGAAGAGGGACACTATATCATACTTAAAGGGTTTACCCAACAAGGAGATCTAACAATTAGAAATATCTATGATCCTAACTTGAGAGCAGCCAATTATATAAACCAATTAATAATAAAATTAAAGAAACACATTGATAATAATACGATAATCATAGGGGACTTTAACACCCCATTCACAGCAATGGACAGATCATCTAAGCAGAAGATCAACAAGGAAACAAGGGTTTTGACACACTGGACCAGATGGACTTCACAGATATACAGAGTATTCCACTCTAAAGCAACAAAACACACATTCTTCTCAAGTGCACATGGAACATTCTCCAGAATAGATCACATACTGGGTCACAAATCAGGTGTCAACCAGTACCAAACACTGGGATTATTCCCTGCATATTTTCAGACTACAGTACTCTGAAAGTTGAACTCAATCTCAAGAGAAACTTTGGAAGGAAGTCAAACACTTGGAGGTTAACATCCTGCTACAGAATGAATGGGTCAACCAGGATATTAAAGAATTTAAAAAATTCATGGCAACGATGAAAACACAACTGTTCAAAACCTTTGGGATGCAGAAAATGCGGTCCTAAGAGGAAAGGAAATAGCAATATAAACCTTTCACAAGAAAGAAGAAAAGTCTCAAATACACAAGCTAACCTTACATTTAAAGGAGCTGGAGAAAGAACAGCAAATAAAGCCCAAACCAAACTGGAGACCAGAATTAATAAAGATTAGATCAGAAGTCAATGAAATAGAAACCAAAAGAACAGCAGAACATAGCAACAAAACTAGGAGCTGGTTCTCTGAAAGAATTAATAAGATCAACAAACCCATAGCTGAATCAAAAAGAAAAGAGAAAGGACCCAAAT